ACCCTCGGCTTGATTCGAAAATCCGGATCACGAGGGTGGATTAACACGGGCTTATGCCTCCTCCTCGGGTGATCGAAGCCCCAGCATTTTCACGAAGCCGGCTGCGCTTCGTCGAGTTCGTCACACCGCGTTCTAATGCATGCACTTCACCATCCTACGCGCTCGAATTACAACCTCGTATATATATATATATATGTATATATAAATATATATATTTAGTCGCACGTCTATTGATTTTTTCCCCGAAGACACATTTATGATTTTTATTCTATTTCTTTTTTTTTCGAATTCAGTTCACTCGTCGTTCATGCAAATTTCATCACGCCCGGTCTTTTAAATTTCACGAGCAATTTTTCGAAACTGTGAGAGATGAAACGGAGGAAACATATTTTTTAGTCTTTTCATTATTCATTCGATGCATTCGATTTTCAGTTTTTTTTTTTTTCACGTTTGTTGTACAATGTATCGTGTTGGCGAAGAAAAATTTATCGTGAGTGTTTGTATTTATATAAATTCATGCTTTAACGATTTAAAATTGAGAAGAGAAATATTTAATTTTTGGTCCTCTTTCTTTATAATAAATTGATTATCAAAAAAAAAAAAAAAAAAAAGTAAATATGTGAAAGAAACAAAAGTTTAATTGCAGATACGAAAACTCAGTACAAACGCGTGAACGATTATTTCTAAACTCGTTGATTGAATCTTATAGGTATAATTTTGTGAAATACGACTATAAAATATAACATTAATTTGAGAGCAAAATGGCGCGTGTTTCGCACGTGCGAGGTAGAAAATAAAATTTATATCTAAATTTATATATATATATATATACATCGTCGGTCCAACTTTTATTCATTTTATTAGATTTTATTCGTTATTACTTTCTGATCACATACACGTTCGTTAGCCGCAATTCAGGGTATTGAAAAGAATTCCTAGAATTCAATATTTCCACTTTCGTCTCGAGTGAAATAAGTTTTGTAGAAAATTTCCCGTGGAATGGAAAATGAAGTGGGAATAGCAGTCGACGGCTGGTAATTGCATCACGTTTCCGGCAAAGCATAGAGATAGATCAGAGTGAAAATCGAGCGAAAAGATATGTTCGAAAAAAACTTTCAGGGCGGAGAGTTGAATGTTATCTGTACACTTTAAAGAAACAAAAGTGCCGTTTGAAGATCTGTGTTTCTCGATCAAATTAAATTGCTGGGACTGTTGCTGGGGGAGTTATGTTGGACTGAAACTACGTAACAGTTAACATAAAACTAGAATTACCAATTATAATTATGCAACTATTTATTTGCACGAACAGTTATTTTTCCTTTAAAGAGCCGACAGATTTCTGTTCTGTAAAAACAGAATGAATTATCAATTATCAATTAACTTGCAAATTATTTCATTCAATTTTAAAATTGAATTCTCGATTGAAACTCTCAAATAATTAAATTACTTAGTTTATGTTTGTAATTGCATAGTTACTATAGATATTGCATATTTATAGAATATATTATACACTTGCTGCAAAGAAGTTTGATGAAATCTGGCATGAAAGACTGACCTCCTGATAAATCGATATTCCTGATCAGCAGAGAGCAATCTTCTTCTACTTCCTTTCAATCCATTTAATATTCGCAGTAATATCCCGTTTTACTTGGAATTGAATTTCGCAATGTTTTCAGAAAAGAAAAAAAACTTATTACTAAAGCCCGTGTGGGCTTTTATAAAGAGAAGATAAAAGGACATATAAATTATGAATCTTCGTAGAAAATCATTCCAGATATTTAAAAAAAAAAAAAGAACACTACATTTTCAATATTTTTCATACTTTTCTCTGTATTGTTATTTTTTACTTTTTACATTTGCTGCTTTTCTTCATTATTATTATTATATTATCGCGTTCAATTTTCTAATTTTTTACACGTGCGCACGCAGTATCACTCGTTACATTCGTTGAAATCTCCATAATACGTAAAGACAAACGTACCTACGTGATACTCTTTTTTCCCCCCTGGTTGTTTAAACACTTTCTACAACGATTTGACAACGGTATCGTCGCGCTCTCCGAATAGCTGGAAACTCGGCAATCTTGATATTCAAAAGACAGTCGCAAGAGCTGAAAAGCCGGCTTTTGTTTCATTTCGTTTTTCGTGGATTGCGTGGATTGTTCGCGAAAGGGACAGACCGGAAGGAGTGACACGATCCGAGAGGAATGTGAAAACGCTTGTGGAAATTGGACGGAATTAAAACAGGTCAGAGATCCAGCCAGACGAGGACGACGATTCTCGTCGATCGCTGAAACAGAGATAGAGATAAAGAGAGAGAGAGAGAGAGAGAAGAACACGTTTCTTTCAAACGTGTCTTTGCGTCACCACTTGCCGGATCAGACGAAACGTACTTTGCCATTAGGAGCAGCGAGGAATTAATTAAGCATCTGCTTCCTCTCTCGTAACGCTACATACTATGTAAGTTGCACAAGAGATGTTCATTTCAAACGGAATATATCGACAGAACGAAAGGAACTTTTTTAATTTAGTGGCTCGATCGAGTTGACGGTGTGTAACATTTTTTAGAAAACTCGAGATTGATGTATTATTATATATTATTGATGTGTTATTATTATTATTATATATAATTGATATATTATTATAGTGTTATTACATTAATATATAATATATATAATATAATATATTAATATATATTATATATTACATTAATATATAATATATATAATATAATTATAGTGTTATTACATAGTGTTATCATCGTGTTGTAATAATTAATATATAATATATATAATATGATACATTAATATATATTAATATATATTATATATTACATTAATATATAATATATATTAATATAATTATAGTGTTATTACATAGTGTTATCATTGTGTTGTAATAATATTGTTACAATTACAATTTTGTTAGAGAAATCGATTGATGTGTAAAATGATGCGTAAGAATATTATTAAATGTCATTTTGCAGATGCAATTACAATGTTTTAGAGAAATCGACTGATGTGTAAAACGATATGATTCTGTCGACAGAATAAAAGGAACTTTGGAATTTTATAGTTAGTGGCTCGATTGAGTTGAAGATGATATTTCAGAAAATATATTTCTTAGAAAAATCAAGATTGATGTACATATTGATGAGATTGATATATATTATTGATGTGTTATTATCATAATGTATAATTGATATATCATTATTATAGTGTTATTACACATCATTAATGATTGTAATAATATTGTTACACATACAATTACAACTTTGTTAGAGAAATCGATTGATGTGTAAGATATCGAATGATATGTAATAATATTACATATCATTTTACAAATACAATTATAATGTTTCAGAGAAATCGACTGATGTGTAAAACGATATGTAGTAATGACATGATTTTGTCGACAGAATGAAAGCAAGTTTGAAACTGTATGGAGTTTTTAATTTAGTGGCTCGATTGAGTTGAAGATGAAATATTTTTTAGAAAAATCAAGATTGATAATATGTAATAATATTATTACATATCATTTTACAGATACAATTACAATGTTTTAGAGAAATCGACTGACGTATAAAACGATATGTAGTAATGACATGATTCTGTCGACAGAATGAAAGCAAGTTTGAAACTGTATGGAGTTTTTAATTTAGTGGCTCGATTGAGTTGAAGATGAAATATTTTTTAGAAAAATCAAGATTGATAATATGTAATAATATTATTACATATCATTTTACAGATACAATTACAATGTTTCAGAGAAATCGACTGATGTGTAAAACGATATGTAGTAATGACATGATTCTGTCGACAGAATGAAAGCAACTTTGAAACTGTATAGAGTTTTTAATTTAGTGGCTCGATTGAGTTGAAGATGAAATATTTTTTAGAAAAATCGAGATTGATCATATGTAATAATATTATTACATATGATTTTACAGATACAGTTATAATACAGAGAACTCGACTGATGTGTAAAACGATATGATTCTGTCGACGGAATAAAAGGAACTTTGGAATTTTATAGTTAGTGGCTCGATTCAGTTGAAGATGATATATTCAGAAAATATATTTTGTAGAAAAATCGAGATTGACGTGTAACGTTCACGAGTCTGTTCGTATATTGTTGACACATGAAAAATAGAAGTCGATGAAAGATCGATGCGAAATTAAATAGTCTAACACGACACTCTTCGTTTGCTATCTCGCTCTTGGAACAATAAGCGAGACACGAGAGTAAGAGAAGTTTTATTCACGTGTAAGCGTAGCATGCACCGTACTGTCTTAAATGAGTGAAAACTTGGATGTCGTCCAACTTGGTGGATCAAGTACATACTGCTATTTAGGCTAACACACAGGCACTGAATCTCCTATCTCAAATATTTGCCAAAATAAGAGCAGCCTCATGAATATGCCACAGCAAAATGTCGCTTGAACGTTAGTAGCAATATTAAGAAAAATCTTACACAATTACGTTGCTCTTCTATTGCATATTATTTTGATCTCTTTATTTCAGAATATTTTTTTATATCTTGTATTAGATGAAAATATGTATAATCGATTGCTCAGTAATAAAGAAACATCGCAATAATAAAATAACGCAACACTGCGAACATTGTTTGGATACGATAGATGAATATTTACAAAATTTCAAAAGTTGAATAATAATAAGTTCGATTCATTTAAAGCTTGAAACTTGAACGAATGTGATACTGAATTGTTTTATTATGAAACGATCAAAATGAAGAACACACGATATATATACGTACATACATACGACGAATGACAAAATTATCAGCAAAGCAACAGCTATAATAAAATGATTTTACAACGAACGGAGCGTATCCACCGAATCCAGGGGCTCGATATCTCTGATTGAGATTAGCAAACGTTGAAACGTTCTATCACGAATTTCGCCACTTCTATCTCGCCCTCAACGATCCGATTCGAATATAGAGCGCACATGGCTTTGTTACTTTCAAGTTACACGATCTTACAGACGATTAATCTTCATTTGAGACGTGTATGGACTAGCAGACATTGTCTGCAGATACACGGCCTCGTATATAAGGATATCTGCAAACCGTCCAGAGTTCTACAAGATATGAACGTAGTACATATACATATATACATACACGATAGTACGTATACATACTCTCGCGCGACACACGATATACAGTTTTCGAGCGTAATAGCCCGTATTATATACGATACGATACCGGTGGACAATAATATGCAGATTACTTGCAGTGTCCGTAAAAGTTTATATAATAATATAATAATATATATAATATATTATTATTATATATAATAATATAATAATATATAATATATTATTAGTATATAATATAATAATTTATATAATAATATACGCTTTTATATGTAATAATATATAATATAAAAGTTTATATAATAATATATATAATATATTATTATTATATATAATATAATAATGTATATAATAATATACGCTTTTATAATATATAATATGTATTATATATTTTATAATATGTAATATTCTAATAATATGTAATATATAATAATATACGTGTCTATATATAATAATAATATATATGCGCCTTTATATAATAATATACGCGTAATAACGGAGAGCTTGAAAGAAAATACACGTTCCTGGTGTGTGTGGAGATTAATATGAATGAAAACAGAAATTTATCGCTCCGTAAAAACTCTCGAATCATTCGAGTATTTTTCAATACCAGAACGGGCCGTTCAACACCGTTTAAAAGTAAAAATTAGGCGACTTTCACGTCACTCCGCAAGGTATTTACTACTTCCGACGCGAGTTTCGTAGATATCATCTTTGACCAGCCATCGAGCGCTAAATTTCCTCACGAAATGAACATTATCGATCATTTTTCAAGCTTCGATGCGTGGCAAAGTGGTCAATATATTTTCGAAATTAAATTTCAAAATATAGTCCAGCTTGGTATATCTCGTTTGAATATTAACTCGTTTGTCTGCCAATTTGCATTTTTTACTATTTATGATCTGTTTGTGTGATGTAAAGTATAACTCGATCCGATATCGATTAACAACTGCCGTTGATTGAAAAAAAAAAAAAAAAGAAATAACTATGAAACGCAACTAACTGCTTATACTATAGTCAATAGCTTAGATAGTCAATATGAGTTACTACTTTAGATAGTCAGTACAAGTTATATTATAGACTATATACTATATACTATACTAGACTTGGACTGTATACTATATTAGATAGTATAAGTTGCTTATAATATATTATATTAAATAGTATAAGTTGCTTATACTATTTTAGATGGTCAGTACAAATTATACTATATTAGACTATATACTATATTAGAAAATATACGTCTGCTTATACTATATTAGATAGTATAAGTTGCTTATAATATATTATATTAAATAGTATAAGTTGCTTATACTATTTTAGTTGGTCAGTACAAATTATACTATATTAGACTATATACTATATTAGAAAATATACGTCTGCTTATACTATATTAGATAGTATAAGTTGCTTATAATATATTATATTAAATAGTATAAGTTGCTTATACTATTTTAGTTGGTCAGTACAAATTATACTATATTAGACTATATACTATATTAGAAAATGTAAGTCTGCTTATACTATATTAGATAGTATAAGTCACTTATACTATATTAGATAGTCAGTAGTAGTATATAGTCTAATATAAATAATATATTATATTAGATATAATCAGTATATTTTTAATGTTTAATATTTCTAATAAATTATTATTAAAATTAAAATTTATATCTTATTAAAATATAAATCACATATTAAAATTTATGTTAATAATAATAATAAATAAAAAACCATTGAATTCTGTCACAATAATGACAACTTGAATAATGACAGAAACGAAATAAATGAAAGAAACGTTATGTAATACATTCAAAATAAATTTACCTAATTTATCTTAAAATAAATAATACGAAGTGGACTCGCAGCAACCTTCCTTCGAAAGGAAGTCGAATTCAAAGGGTGAAACAGCCTTGCGATTGATCGCAGAGTTTGATCTCTGACGTCTCACGGGGTTGAGGATGGGGGGTAGAGAGACGGTCTGAGCCTCCGACGATGCGACGCGTTTGTAATCCGATTAGAATCGGAGAAACGGCCACTGGCCATCTCGCGAGAGTCGATTCCCCGTGTTAATTGGTCGATGTATCGCGAGGTGGCCGGCGATCAGGGCCGCTGGGAAACGCGTAGTTCCGATTCCGACGTAGGGAACTCCGTTCAGTTGGCTTCGCTTCTGGACAGGAAACGAGCAATTAAGCGGCCGAAGCGAGCTTATCGCGAGAGATCGAGCAGCCAGGGATGGGACCGAGTATCTCGTGAGCAGCTCCTTTCAAAACTTTAGTTCGTCCCGTACGTTAATAAACGTTTCGCGAGTCATGCTGAAGAAATGAATTTCAAAACGTTTTCAAAGTAGCTTCGAGATTCGTTTCGGTATTACGATGAAATGTTACTTTCCAAGCTTTCGTTTCTCACTCTGTTTTGTTGTCCGTTTCATTCGAAAAATTTTCATGAAAATTATACTATGTACATAAATGTTCGTATTGTTATATTATAATAGTTATAATATTTTACGAAAAGTTATAAAGTACTATATGTATAGAGTAAAAATATAGAAATTTTATTAATATAAATATAGAAATATAAATGTAGCAAAAATTATACTATATACATAAATGTTTGTATAGTTATAATGTAATAGTTTCTCTATTTTTCTATTTTTTGAAATTACGATGAAATGTTACTTTCTAAGCTTTCGTTTTTCACTCTGTTTTGTTGTCTGTTTCTTTCGTAAAATTTTCATGAAAATTATACTATGTACATAAATGTTCGTATTGTTATAATATAATAGTTATAATATTTTACGAAAAATTGTACTATATACACAGATATATATATATATATATATATATATATATATATATATATATATATATATATATATATATATATTAAAACGAAACAAATTAATTCACTTCTGGCGTAACTCAGCGCTCGGTAGGGGAAGTGTAAATTTCCAGGGAGGTGAAATGGCGCAGTGTCGCGAACGAGGAAGCGATAGCGCACGATTCGAATGATAAATGAAGCCACGTGCGGGTAAACGTTGTGCCCTGCTGAGCTCGTTGTGTTTCCTCCTCCGGTTTCGTTCTCACGTGTTTATCTCTTGTCTGCACTCGCACGTTCGTATCAAATGTTTATTTACCTTACGACTACGCGAACACGAGTATGAATTCTCGGATGAAAATTGATTCGATCTCCGTGGTCTGTCGAGCTTTAAAAATACCCTCGGTGTATAAATGACGAGGAATTAGGGGGGGGGGCAATACTAACCCAGATCTGTAGCTTGACCCTTTTGTCGTGTCTGAAGACCGTTTTCACCTTAAAATCGATGCCCACGGTCGATACGAAGGCCGAGGTGAAGGAATCGTCCGCGTAGCGGAACAGGAAAGAGGTTTTGCCCACGGACGAGTTGCCGATGATCAGCAACTTGAACATGTAGTCGAAGTTTTGGTCCGCGGCCTCCTTCTGAAATTTCGGATCCTGGCCCGCCATCTAACGAAACAGATTTTACACAATGACGTTCGTTGCTTTGGTCGTTCATCACACACAGATAATAATAAAATGTTCAACTGCATTGCAAACTCTATCGCAAAATTACAGAGTTTTGTTATTTACTACGACTGAATATTGAATATTAGATTTATTGACAAAATATTTATTAACAAAAATATCCTGCAATGAATATTTTGAACAATTTTATTATTTACAGTAATATTAAATATTATGCGTGGTAAAATAAAATGAAGTATAATAGAATTATTGTTACTGTGAATAATAAATATTTATTATTCACAGTAATAATAATTTTATTACAGTTTGTTTTACTTTATAAAATGTTCAACTGCATTGCAAACTCTATCGTAAAATTACAGAGATTTGTTATTTACTACGACTGAATATTGAATATTAGATTTATTGACAAAATATTTATTAACAAAAAGATCCTGCAATGAATATTTTGAACAATTTTATTATTTACAGTAATATTAAATATTATGCATGGTAAAATAAAATGAAGTATAATAAAATTATTGTTACTGTGAATAATAAATATTTATTATTCACGGTAATAATAATTTTATTACAGTTTGTTTTACTTTATAAAATGTTCAACTGCATTGCAAACTCTATCGTAAAATTACAGAGTTTTGTTATTAACTATGACTGAATATTGAATATTAGATTTATTGACAAAAAGATCCTGCAATGAATATTTTAAACAATTTTATTATTTACAGTAATATTAAATATTATGCGTGGTAAAATAAAATGAAGTATAATAGAATTATTGTTACTGTGAATAATAAATATTTATTATTCACGGTAATAATAATTTTATTACAGTTTGTTTTACTTTATAAAATGTTCAACTGCATTGCAAACTCTATCGTAAAATTACAGAGTTTTGTTATTTATTATGACTGAATATTGAATATTAGATTTATTGACAAAAAGATCCTGCAATGAATATTTTAAACAATTTTATTATTTACAGTAATATTAAATATTATGCGTGGTAAAATAAAATGTAGTATAATAGAATTATTGTTACTGTGAATAATAAATATTTATTATTCACAGTAATAATAATTTTATTACAGTTTGTTTTACTTTATAAAATGTTCAACTGTATTGCAAACTCTATCGTATTATATAAATAATAATAAAATTATTATTACTGTAAATTTTTGTTATTTACAGTAATACTAGAAATAGGAACTCTCCCGAGATTTTTAACTGCACTGTGTATTAACAAAAAGATTCTACGATAAATTTTAAAAATTTATCCGAGAATCTCCCGAAAGAAAGCGGACAGCTCCATGACAATCGAAGACAGTCGAGTTGGCAAACGAATTTTTTATCAATTTCGATTGATACTTTGCATTTCTACCGCGTTCTTGACCACTATCCACGACGTGTCCACCAGCAACACTGTCGGCAATTAACGTTATCACCGAGGAAACAAGTGCATGCTGGTACCGGAAGTCTGTTGTGCGGCGTAATATCAACGATGGACATCATTCGTGCCATCCTCGTTCTCAGTTCGAACACGGAATCCTTCACAGGTGGCCTGTCACTCCTCGTTGCCCTTTCTGCCTTCGACATTTCGTCCTCGAGCAGAGAATTCTTCGAGAATTTGTTTCAAAATTTTACACCGACACCCTCTGCTGGTGTTTTCGACAATTTTGAGATTTTCTTTCTCGTAGTATTTCTATATAGAAAAAGAATTCTTCTGGTACAATCTGTTATAAAATACCTGTGATAGTATTTTCGAAGTTTCTCTTCAGATATCTTTTTTTTTTAGAAAATTTATCATCCGAACAGTATAAACTTTTTCCAACAGTTGCTTGACTTTTTTCGTTCCTTCCGATTGAAATGTTCCCTCGGGGAGCAAAGAATGTTTTCTACCTTGTGGCACGACGTTTCATCGTTTGGCAAAGTTCCAGTAATAAATTTCTTCCTTCAGAATAATAAAATAAAAAAGAATACGCCAAGGCGAACGACGCAATTTTTAACAATTTCGCTCACTCGTCGATCGAATGGTAATCTCAGCAAATTCGAGTACTCGAAGTATTCAAATGAACGCGCTGTTTTCCACCATTAGCACAATTTTTATCGAATTTTTCAAAACATAGAGACAAGTGTCACGAGTTGCAAGGTGGACACAAGTTGGAACAAAGTTTGAGATCGTTTGCCACTCACTGGTCGTGGCAGCGTGATTACGGTTTTTCGTTCGTTTCCAGATTTGCCCCTTCTTTTCCTTTCGTCTTTCTTTTCGACGATATCGCGGTTTCTCGATACGCGTGAACCCGCCCACGCAGGGCTGAAACAAAAGTGTCACCTATGGCGGGGCCCATTCAGTCATCGTTCTTCTATAAATCCTGTACGATAGTTGATAATAGCTGAATCATCAGCTTGATATACAGGCTGATTCCAATAACTATAACCATTCTAGATAGATATATAATTTTTTAATTTTATAATATATATATATATATATATTCATTTATATAATTATATTATATTATTTAAAAATTAATTATCTATTTATAATAAAAAATATAAAAATCATTAATAATAATTTTAATTATTCAATAATAAAATTATTTTATTTTTATACTAATTATTTTGTTTATAATTTTAATACTTTTAATTTTATCAAAAATTTGTTATATAAAAAAAAAACTTTACGAAATAAATTATTATAATAATGAGAAACAAATTTGAAATATTAATTTATAAAAATATTATAATAAAAATTCCATTATCATTCATTTACCTTCCAACACCAATTAATATTAATTATATGTGAAATTTTTGATCAATATTAGGAATTTTCTTAATAATTCAAATTATTTCGGGACTATTTTTATCTATATATTATTGTCCAAATATTAATTATATATATCCTACTTTAATATACTTCAGTCTATATGAAACATGTCCAGAAATTAAATTAAATAATTAAATAATTTAATTATCTGCATGATCCTCATTAACGTCTTGCGCCACGCACGTCGAGAATTTTTTGTTCCAAAATTGTAATAGTTCCTCTGGTTTTAAGTATATTTAAGTAAAACAGAATAGGCAAAGCAAATGACAAATTTATTACTTCTCAATCGTTTCTGTCCAGCGAGATATCGTACCGACGAGTTCGAAATGAAAGCGATAAACTACTGTATACGGTTTGGGTCGCTCGTTATGGTCCGCAATCAGTTGCCAGCGCAAGCGGTTAATGTTATACTCTCCTATATCTTAATTATCCACATTAATATCAATTTGCATTGCAATTTAAATTATATATCGTACTCATTTGCAATATCTGCAAATTAATTCATCGTTCGCTACATAATTTAAATCGTAATTTAGTAAAACTGTTCGAGGGATATTGCGTCTTCAACATATCTTAACGCGAAATAGTAAAGTGGGGGATTTGCATCGGGTATTAGCCTAATTTCCAACATCGAATGCATCTCTTTGATTCTCTCGATGAAGATCCTTTTTTCCTTCGTCGTGTCCTGACGAACGCAGCTGAATGCAATCGCCGACACGTCTGTAGCCATGACCGACCGCATGATCGATAATCCCACAATGGGGACAGTCAAGCCTCGATAACCTAGAACTACAGGTCTACGCAAAAAGCACGTGGACTCGATGAAACCGCCTCTCGACGATCCTCGAATTCCACGAATTTCCAATTATTATCAAAAATACCTCGTAGGACGACCTAACCTCACTTAACCTAACCTGAACCTAACCTGTCCTCCCTTCACTGTTATTTCATTAAAAATCAATTCACCGTGAATTGTCGACAAATTTTGAACGATTTTAAAAAATTGACTGAAGTTTACTGCAAAAGAATGGAACTTTATTGAGCTGAATCGTATATTATATATCGCCCCAAGTTACGTTGGGTTAGGTTTGCCCATTTGCCCATTTTCTTTTTGTTTTCCATTGTCTCGCGTATTTGGGCCAACTCGACGAATAATTTCCAGAGTAGCGTAACTTTCGTTCGAAATATTACTCTTCCAGTCTCTCCCGTGCTATTTTCGTCTCCATTGATGCCCATCGAGCGGAACTTTTTTCCCGCCTTTCTCCGTTTCTTGACTTACTCGAGTCGACAATTTTGAGTACTTTGAATCCTACGCTTGTTTATTTAAGATCGTGAAACAGAAGTAAGGTAAATACGATAAGATTTACGATCTTCGTCGTTGGATAATAGAAATAAACCTGTTTCAAAGTCGCGGATTTGTGGGGAAATTAAAAAAAAAAAAAAAAAAAAAAAGGAACACTAAATAAAATATTTCATCTAAGTGTATTCGGTATGTAAAACCAATTTTTCGATTTCTTCGAAAAGTCGTCCATAATGTGATCCATAATGACCCAGCAACGTCAATTGAGGCTTAAAGATCGTTGTTAACCTTCAACGGACGACAAGGACGAAAAGAAAAAAAGGGAAAGAAAAATAGGAAAAAATAGGGTGCAACGTGGGACGAAGGATCAGCTGCGATTTCATGTGCAGTTACGCCTGAAAATAAATTTCAGAAACGGAGAATCTATAAATAAACTGGACGTCAAGAGAAAGAGAGAGAGAGAGAGAGAGAGAGAGAGAAGGAAATAGAGCGGGTTCTACTCGGAGGTGGGAGGCTCTTATCGATTTTCTTGTCGCTCGAGCCATAGCTCGAGACTCCAGATTTTCCCTCGGATTTCAAGTCCTATCGTTTCTGGCTCGCTTCATTCTGCGATGCTCGTCCAACTAAAAGGGCACTCGTGCCTCCTCCTCCCCCCTTGCGATGAAAAAGTGCATCCAGACGCTCGCCAGACTTCTAATAAATAACCAATCTCCAAGAAGAATAAAGCTCGATAAAAACCAGCCCCTTTGTCTCTCCCCTGCATCGTTATGACGTACCGACAACAACGAGAAACTTGTCTTTCTTCCTTTTTTTTCTTTTTTTTTTTTTTCTCTGTAAAACTTTCCAGTACGCACCGCGGCACCGGGTTCACTCGGCTTCAAACACGAGCAAACGTGTGAAGCAAGCTGGAGATTTTGATGAAATTGAAGATTCTTTTTTTCACACAATTTAAACACGAAGATAAAATATCGTGAGAGGAAATTGTGTATTAAAATTATTCAAGAAACACTCGGTCGTACCTTCTTCATTTTTATTATTCTCACGAGAACGTGAATTTTCATAAGATCTAATCAGTAGTGATTAATTAAATTTCAGTGGGCTGGTAATAATTAATCAGATTCGAGTAACAAACGCAGGAACAAAATACAAAATGCAAAGAGCGAAGTAGAGAATGCAAAGTTTCCAAAAAAATATTCAACTTTGATATCTTTGAAAATAAAATGTAAGGTATGAATTGCATTACAATTAGTTTTGATTTATTTCAGACAACTTTAATCTGAATTATTCATTAATCGATAATCCACTTTGTCAATTTTCCAGACTTTCGGATTAATTATTGAATTTAAATTTTTTCCACGTGTAAATAATTAATTTATTTCGTGCTCGAGTCTATTTTTTTTTTTTTTTTCTTTTACATTACAAAGTCAGAGTCTTTTGTGAATTTTTTCTGAAGATTAAGATTGCATCTATTCTGTCACAAACGAGCAAGCTGAGATCGATTAAAATCATCTCCTGACTTGTTAGCTTGCATCCATATTCAAGAATGAAATTCCCAACAACCAAAAGAGTCAGGATCTCTGTGTCCTTTGTACTTTAATGAATAAAACTCGACGACGTGATTTATTCCGCTCGTCATCTCCCAAGAGGTCAACTGATATACATGTATTTTCGCGATTAAAAGAACAAGACAGATAAGACAAGTTTTTGTAAATGTCAAGTTTTGTAAAAGAATGTTAAAATTTTTAATAACAAAAAAAAAAACATCATAAAAACTTTCAAATGGCAAACGTGCAAGAGTAATGCACATGTGAAGAGAACACGTGGGAATAATACACACACGAGGAGAACCTGTTTAAGAGACATTTGTCGTTGATAAGCATGAGAAGCGAGTGTCCAGATGACTGGTCTCGTTATTAGCAATTGCATTGCAAAACAAACTTGTCAGTGACACTGTCTCGCTGTCAACTGCAGTGTAAATTAATACATCAAGACCTGTCACTGTGACTATCAGCTATGTTCAAAGGCTAATGGTACCTGGACCTGAACAGAAGCCTAGAGAATCAACTCTGTTGGATGCTGATCATCTGCAAGGTTCTCAGTGATCGAAGCAAAGTCAAGGATCGTCACTGTCGTGTTCAAAGATAAATTTCCAATTCAGTGGCTTTTTCCAATTTTGGCCATTTTTAATAGGAGGGTTCATTTTGTCGCTAAAACAAGAAATCCAATCCGGGAAAAAAGAAGTCATATAATTATAAAGTTGTAAAAAAATTATGTACAATTATGTAATTTTAAAGTTATAGAATTATATAATTCTTGTTTTTTTACAAGAAAAACGCCACGTTGAAAGAATTGTAACGAGCAGAAATGGCCAAAGTTTTAGGAAAAACTGCCAAACTAGGAATGACATTGTAGAGTCTAAATCCAAAATTCTTGGAGAGCTAGAAAATCTACAATCTTTGGAAAGATACGACCTAAAACCTAAAACGTTCGAGGACCAAAATGGTGGTAAGGAGGCCTTCCTCGTCGCGAATAGAGTGACAGCGCCGGAAATTCGACGAACCTGATGCGAAAATTCGAGAAAGCGAGAGAACTCAGATACCAACCAACATGCCACGTTCGAAATGGCAGAAAAGTGGGACAAGGTTCGCGATAATCGTATCGCGCCTTGTGTTAACACCGACGTGCCTCGCACGAATGCACCCACGACGACGCGATAACGTCTCCTTTGCGTCCAGACACTCTCAATGCGATATCGTTCAGGAAGTAGCGATCATCGGCGGAAACTGCATGTTTTCTTCAATCGTATGCGACAGAGTTTCATAATTTCGTGTGTAATTAACGTGAACTGTTCGGTGACCTGTTGTACCACCGTGGCCTTGAAGATGACCAGAAGATTGTACCAGCCTTGGATATTATTCGAGTGACGTAAGAAGAACTTTTAAAGAAAATTTAAATTATTCGTAACTTGGTTAAAAAGAAAATTGATTTGGTTTTGAAGCTTGAAGCCTCTACTATATTAACTTTGGGTCCGTTTCTTCCAAAGAATGCTGGCACCATTCATATCTCTGTTCTCGAGAAAAACGGTGTAGTGTAAATTCAAACGTTGTCTGAAAACGTTGAAAAATTTTCTTCGCGTCGTTGTGATCCAAGATCGAGAGTCTTCACTTTTGTATTAATCTTCACTAAACGTTAGGTGATCTTGGAAAAGATTATCCACGATCCATCGTCGAACGTGGACTCGATGAGCAAGAAATAAAATCGCAACATTCGACATTCGACGATCTCGCGAAATCTTTCAAGCACTCGTTCGCAGTTAATGCTTTTCAGCAGACTGGCACGCGGGTCTTTGTGCTCTCCAAGTGCCTCTCAGCCCTCTGATACGTTCGATTTCTTCGACTAAACGCATTAAAATCCAACAACCTGTATGTTACACCGTCTGACTGTCCCGTCCGTGTCCTGCGTGATGAACCCTGCGACGCTTCTTTACCTGTTGCTAGATCAACGAGGCCTCGAGTGGATCCGACAATGAAACATTTTCAAATTTTCAACGATTCGGTCTCTCACTTTTGAAACGTTGAGGTATCCCACTCAATTTGTAATTACTGAGGGTAACTTCATTTCAGAATGAAGCTTCCTTTTGGAGCGTTTGGTCCTCGATCCGTGTGACGAAAGACGTTGCAGCGAGGATCTGCTCGTGTCTTGGCTCATTGATCGGCTCGTCAGTAATTGGTCAGGCGAATGAATTCAATTTGTCGACCGAACGATCTTCGGACCGCGTTCGTTTGGTTCGAATCCCTGTCTCGTAAAAGTGGACCTTGCTTCGTCAAAGAGGAGCTCCGTAGTCTGTGCAGAATCGATACAGAACGAGATCCGAAATCCATTATGCCGGGGCTGACATGATTTATTGTAAAATTATAATTGATCAAGATTGGATCTCGATGCGTGACGAAATAAAAAAGAAAAAAAAAAAAATAGTAAATTGGATGACTCGTAGTTCAAAGATAATGCAAAAAAAAAGAGAAAACTAGTTGGGGAAAGAAGTTGACAGAATGACTTGAGCTTAGAAAGAATCTAACAAAGACCACCTAATAAATATTTCGTTACGAAAATTGTGGTGACCAAACTCCGTTTAAACCTAGCCCAGAAACGTCCGATGCTGAAAGGAAAGAAAAGGCACCTGTTAAAATAAATACCTGTCGAATTTTAAAAAGTTAAGGCCACTTCTCCAGAATCTCGAAACTCTGCTACGTCTCCAATGAAACAAAGAAAAAATTTCGCCAACGAGAACATTTTCGAACATTTTCATTCATAAAGAAATAGAACGTTCCACGCTGTAGTGTGTCTCGATCAAACGGGGTGACTCGACGAGCGTGTCAGCAAAGTGTCAGCGTGGAAGTAGCAAAGAAGAGCTGAAATGCCCCTTAAAATGGCGGAAACGAGAGAGAGGAGAGGTGCTCGGGTTCCATCGCGTAGTCGCCCGTAAGGGATAATTGCAACGGCGGTGGCGGCCTGTGGCTAGCAACAGAGCAAATATTTTTGGAAGATCGATTCCCAACCCCTGGCCACCCACGCCGCCCCGTGGCACGCAGTTTCGATTTCAGGCGGCTGGCGAAGAATGAACGTAGACGAAAGATGGAGCCTCCGTACGCGTGCTTCCGTGATCTGGATCCCGAAAACAGCTTTGTACGGGATCGATACGCTTGGATTCCTCGATATTGGTGATGCCCGGCCGATAACGTCGCCCACGAGCGCTCGGCCATGAGCCCTGCGGCTCGTTAATAATTTCTTTATGCACGGCACGGCGTAGCCTCTCTGTTCTCACGACGTCGACGTGATCGCGCACAGCTGACGTATCTGTCGTATCTGTCGTATCTGTCCCTTCGAAGGTAGGTAAAAAAGGGTGGCAGAGAGGGAGGGAAGAAGGTCAGGTGGAATGGATCGTCGTCGACGATCGTCACTGAAACTGGCCACAGAACCATGCAACACCAAGTTAGAAACTGGACCCATTTCCCCAGGTCAGGCTCACAATCGTACGTAACGTCGGAACAACGGACAACACTTGGACCTGGGAATAACACCGAAATATTGGGGAATCCGTTGATACACTTGGGGACCGTTTAGCCAGGTCCATGATCTTACTTAGTAGCAGGAACGAGAGATGACACTCGGGCGAGAGACACCAGAAACCACAATTTAGGCCTGACAATTTCGGCGAGTGTTAATTCTGAGGGCGAGACGAGGACGAAGGGCGAGGGAAAAACTGGCTGTCAGTGATTGTCGTGCAGAGCGCAGAGCGCGTGAAAAGTCGACTCGACGGCCACGGTTTCTAGCGTGAGAGAGGAAAACCTCGCGAGAGTGGGAGAGAGACAGAGGGAGGACAGAGAGAAATCAATAAGCGGTCTATCGACGGACTATGTGGCTGGTCGGACAGGAATGTTTCAGGCTTGGTATCTAGCTAGGGGCAATGTGTTTCGTCGAGGACGCGGACACGGAGGACGTGAAATTCACCGAGACGTGGTTTCTCTGGATGTGGTCTCTGTTCCTTTTTTCCTTTCTCTTTCTTTCTCTTTAAATCTTTAAATCCCAGAACATGTTCTGTGTACCTCCTGAGAACGTTGATCCTCTTACAGTCGATCGCTTAGGGATGCACACGGATGCGCCGCACTCGGCTCTTGTACCTCGCCTCGAACGTTGAAGGGACTCGGGGAACGCGAGTCTCCGGAGGTTTGCCGACACACGACGTAAGCACCACGGCAGCACAACCGGGGGTTGGTTTCGCGACGATTTTATAGAGACTGGACTGGCCTCGGTAAAGCCTCGCGCCACTGTAGCCCGCTATAGCTAAAATATCGACCATTTCGTGGACCCCCGCCCGTCCTCGAACCAATCCCGAGGAAGGCCGCGCCTGCGCCGCAGACAACCCGACTGACATCTCGAAACCGGTGACGGAAACCCGGACACCATTCGGGGAGGGACACTTGTTGATTTTCCGATTCGTCGCCGCCTACGATGATTCCTCAAATTTCGAAAATTTTTTCGCTGCAGAGATCGGCCTTATCGATTGTAGGTAACTTATCGACGGTGGTAATTTGAAAATATTTTTTAAAATGTTTTTCCTTTTTTTTTTTTTTGGCGGGACGCAACTCGAATTCTGAGAAATTGGCAGCGTAGCAACGGAATTTGTTTGTTTGGCTCATTTCTTGGTAAACGGCCCCGATCGATTGTACAAATTCAGACCGATTATCTTTATAATGGACGTTTCTTTGGATGCAAAATTGTTTTAAATATGTCTCGCGTTTCTCGGATCCTAAGTAACGGTTATCTAAGAGAGAAAGTCGTGTTGGAACCGGAAATGAATTGCGAGGGTCACGTTGTGAAACGGTCGCAATCCGGACGTGAATTCAAGGAAGCGAATTTCGCTAGGATCTCGACGTGAGACTGTCAATTTTCATTGTCCCGGCGAGAGTATCAATTGCATATCTCTCGGTAATTCTATGTTGTAGCTTGAAAAAGTGCCGAAGCGTGGATGGAACTTCCAAACGGCCAAAAATCAACAACATTCGTAGGCTGAAGACAAGGGGCTTAAAGGTGCCGCTGGTCCCCGAGAGAATCGTCAATATAGTCAACATTTTGCAGCACGAGAAATTTCTGGACATGGTCGGTCAGTTCTTCAAGCCGAATTCCAAGAAACAATCGCGAATCAAGAAACCACAATCGAAAGCGTCCGATACGAGCAAAAGTCTTGATTGTGGGGCCGAGGTGCATATGTCCGCCATTTGTGAGAACACTTTGTAATTCGTCGTTCGAATAAATGATCATCTTCCACTGACTCATTCGGCTTCGAATTGAAAGTTTAATCGGGAACTCTAAAATAAAACAAATGATGTCAAATCGCGCAACTTTTCGAAACAAATCGCAGTTTATTGTACATCGCTCGATATTAACTATGAACACATTCTCGTGTAACTTCTAAGGATATCTCTACATATTTTCGAGCGTACGTCTTGCTCGACTCGATCGACAAGAATACGTGAATTTTCTTTGGAGTCCTCTCACAGAGTCCGAGAACAAGGTATTGGTAACGACTTTTCTTTAACACCCTGTATATTGAACGAGAGACTTGTTGCACACGTGAATTAAGATGGCGTCGAACTGGACTTTGAGCTTTAGAGAGGCCGTGCTAATCATCGCTTTGCTCGCGCGAAATCAAAGCTTGCTCTCGGTATCGTCGTAGACAACCGCCGGGTTCGAGGCAGCCCATTTTTCCTTGAAAGCCAGTTCTTCTTTCCTGGGCCTGCTCTTTAAGCTTTGGATGCCAGCGTAGTGTTCCTCGATTTCCTTTAAGGATCTGCCCTCTGTTTCTGGGAGGATGAAGTAGAGGAGAACGCCGCCGGCGAAGTTGATCGAGGAGTAAAATAGAAAGGTTCCTGGCATTGACATCCCGTCGACCATGTAGAGGTACACTTTATTCGCGATGGAATTGAAGACGTAGCCTATGGAACCAGCAATTCCTGTCGCGCTGCTTCGTACCTAGGTCAGAGTTGACATTGACAGACAATTGGCTTGGGGAAATTATTTAATAATTGGCTTTGGTCAGGATAAAGTTTAGACTAGATTTGAGTTAGGAAAATGGAGATATCCTTCTGAAAAAGCTCTCGGATTAGGAACTGACTTTCATGATGATGGAGCTAGGTTCGAATCAGACAACCAACTCATTTTCATAAAGAGAATCTTGGGTTAGTTTCGATTTTTATTAAGAAAAACGTGATTTTTGTCAAGTATCCTGAATTGAGGCTTGAGTCATGAAAGTCACAGATTTGGATTAAAAGAAACTTCAATCCCTGTGTTTGAACTTGAAGTCAAGTGTTGGTTCAAACTAGTTCATGTGTCAGTGTTTGATCTGACAAACTTACGTTTGCGGGAAAGACTTCGCCAGCCAGGACCCAAGGGAGGAGCCTGATTCCATTATGAGATAAGAAAGCTGCACCGATCAGCAACGTCGTTGGAATCCACGAGATATTCTCTGTGTCGATCGCCCCGGCGTCGTTCAGATACCCGTAGATAGTCACTAAACAAAAGCATATGCCAGTACCACCGACAGAGATGAACGTGAGCAATCGTTTGCCAGTGAAGTGAATGGCAAACACGCAGACTAATGTTCCGATTAATTCCGCCAGGCCAAGGAACACGGCAGCTGTGTATTTGTCCATGGGTGCTTCTAGGCTGTCAAAAATCATCACAGCGTAAGTCTGAAGAGTACTGGTGCCACCAAAGGTACCAATGAAGAAAGCACTGGTGACTAGGAGGAAAGGCGTGTAGAAGGTTTTCTTGCCAAAAGACTTCCAAATCTTTTTCTTGGTCTCTGCCGGCTTCTGTACTTCTTGGCAAATGGTTTGAAACTCTGCTTTCACGTGGATCGGACTGACCCAGCCGCGGAGCCAGCAGAGAGCACTCTCTGCCTCCTTTTGGCGACCCTTCGCTGAAAAATTTAGATAATATCAATGATTTAGATATCTCACGATTATTAAAACAAAAGAATTGCGTTGGAGTGGTAAAAGAAGAGAACTTACCAATGAGCCAATAGGGGCTCTCAGGTACCATGCAGAGAGCAGCGAAGCAGATGAGTGGATAGATCAGATTGATCATGGTGACGGTTCTCCAATTGCCCAATTTGCCACCTAACATCTGCGTGAAGATACCGAGGATAATGGACATGGTGGAAGTGGCAGACAGCATGCCACGCAAATGTGGCTGTGTTACTTCTGCTACATAGGTCATCACAGGTGCCTCTAAAAGACCACCGGTTAGACCTGTCATAGCCAATGCTATGAACAACATCCCAGGTGTTGTGGCGTAGTAAAATGTGATCCAAGCTGCTATGAACGGGATGGTAGTCAGCATCATGGTCCTTTTTCTTCCTAGGAACTGTGATACTGGCCCACTGGTGAAGCAGCCAATTGGAACCAGGAATAAGTTCAAGCTACCTGGAACATGTTTCATGAATTTTAGACTTTTGTTAGTATAGAAAAGTTTTACACTAGCTAATTTTTCTCATCCTTTGTATTCACTACAAGTAGATGCTTATGTTCCTTGTTGCAAGGAACTGGTAAACAACACACGAGATGCTTACTGATCCACGTTAGTTCCTCCATAGTGACCGGGATCTCGGAATCCTTCTTCTGTAATTCTGGAATGAGAATAGTGGAGAAGCCCAAAGTGGAACCAAACGTGATCATGAGTAGGTTCTTGGCGCTGACAGCACAGAACTGTGGAAACGCCTGGCGTAGCTTCGACGTTGGAAAACTTTCAGGAGTGCCGTTCAACTCAGCAGGTGACATTTTCTCCTCGTTCCTAAAACACAGGCCAAACATCATGAAACCTGTGGAAATGTGCTTTGAATGAAAATGAGTTTTGGTATGCTGACATTAGTTTCAGACGAATCAGGACACGATATAATAAAGATTTGTTTCGTTTACTAAATATTTACATACACCTGTGAAATTTTCATTGTTTCAAATGGAAATGAGCCTTTGGATATTTTTCTAGTATCAGATTAACTTTTTAAAATATTTCTCACGTTTCTCAATAACCATGAGTGAAACTCGTTTAGATTTCTGTAGATTTAATGCAATCTAATAAATTAATAATTAATAACAAATCGTGATTATTCTACAATAATAATTGTAATTTTATTACACAAATGCCAATAATATAAATTGGTGAAAAACAAAAATTCCAAGTTCGATTTTTCACGAAGAATGGAAATAAATAAATAAATTTTCACAAGTCATCCGATTTCTGTGCGTACATCTAACGACGTAAACAGATCCATCAATGATCGGACTCGAACATAAGCGTGGCCCCAGGGCGCAGTTTGATTGAACGTGATCTTTTTTCTTCTTCTTTTTTTTTCTTTTTTTTTTTTTCTTTTTGTCCAACGAAACTAGGTTAACGTGACCAATGACCGCGCAATGGTTATTCAATCGGCCAATTAAAGTTTCAGTCGGCCGAGTCCCATACATTGAACGGGTAATTTAAAACCCTTGCTAGGTCCGATGAATTCTCCGATGCACCATTATGTGCGTTAGGAGATTATTTCGATTACTCCTTCTGATTGATCCTCGCCGTACGTTCACGAGGAGCGACCTTGCATTGTAGGTCGCCGAAGTCATCGAGACATCTGCTACTAAGGGATTAAAATCTATGTACAATGGGTGTAGTACAATGATTTTGGAATTTTTGGCAAACATTTTATTACTAGTTTCTCAAAGCATTTATAAAATATGCACACACACACAAACATATATATATATATATATATATATATATATATATATATATATATATATATATTTGTGTATTGTATTTATTGTGTTTTTATATTATTGTATATTACTATATTTTATTTATATTTTATTGTATGTTTTATACTATATTTTATTGTATATTTTATACTATATTTTATTTATATTTTATTTGTATATTTTATACTATACTATATTTTATTTATATTTTATTTGTATATTTTATACTATACTATATTTTATTTATATTTTATTTGTATATTTTATACTATACTATATTTTATTTATATTTTATTTGTATATTTTATACTATACTATATTTTATTTATATTTTATTTGTATATTTTATACTATACTATATTTTATTTATATTTTATTTGTATATTTTATACTATATTTTATTTATATTTTATTTGTATATTTTATACTATATTTTATTTATATTTTATTTGTATATTTATATTTATATATTGTATATTTTATTTATATTTTATTTGTATATTTGTAGTATATTTTTTATTTATATTTTATTTGTATATTTATATATTATTATTATATTATTATTATTAAACTATATATTATTATTATTGTATATTTTATACTATATTTTATTATCATTACACTTTGTATTTATAAAATACAGAATATTTAATTTAATTCAATTTGTTCAAAGGCGTGGGAAAATATGCCAATTTTCATGAACGAAATTGCACATTCAGGTTTTTGCATATTACGTGTATTATGCAGGGTCTTTGCAGTTTCAAACGCACGAGCATCGTGATGTTCGTCACTCACCTCCACGTGATCTCATGATTGGGTTTTTCGTCATTGACACAGTTCTCCGTGGCGTGAAAGGAACCGGAGGCTCTGAACTATCGCGATTACACAAACGGTGCTGTCCGTTCTCCTGGTTTTTTTTACGAAATTCTAAACGACCGGTTAGATCAGCTCACCAGGAAAAATTACAACAATTTTCTCTCTCTTGCTAATTTCGTATCAATCAAGTCTTTTAATAATTAATTTTATCGACCGAGGGATAAAATTTGACCAGATAGAAGTCTAAATTGATTTTAATTTGAAATCAATAGTAGTATAATCGTTGGTATAGATTACTTTTAACAAACAATTTCCGAGGATCTAAACTGTCTTGTTCCGATTAATTAATCTGTTATCTTTCATTCTGATTGTGGATGTGGGAAATTTGAACGAGAAGACAGAAATTTAGAAAAAAAAAGAGGAAAAAACGAAACACAGAAATCGGGTTAATCGATGATGAGTTCTAACTGTCCTTTTCTGTGTGTTTTCCCTTTCACGTGCAGCCACCTGAATGGCTGCTCAACCGAACTCCTCGGGGCAATCCCAATTCAGGGAAAAGCTCGTTGTAATGCAACCTGTGATCTCACTTTCGTGTTTCCTCTAACCTTCGGTCGCTTTATAGACTTGATTCGATCGACTATACATGTTACACACGTTTCCTTTCAATCAATTCTTATAATATTAATTTATTAAAGAAGCTGCAAATAAAGCAACGCTCTTTAAGAGAGTTGATCACGTACTTTGAAAGGCGTTGCAACTCGATATCTTTTACTTCCATTCTGATCTTTCGACGAATTTCCTATTATAGTTACTGTTCTCCTCCAAAAACGTTAGAAAAGCAGACATTCGATAACGAAAATAAATCTAATAAATTTCAGGTAAAACAACGAGCAACAAGTTATCTCTCGTCAACAGACAGCTAATCACGAATTTATATTTTGAGAAGAGCTGTACACCGATACTTTCACTTTGTCATACGGTTGTTGACATTCCTATAGCACTCCGAAGAGTGCACGCGGTCTTTATCACGGATTAAATACGCATGAGCCATCGATGCGCAGCTCGGCTTAAGTAATTATGCTGTCAAGTAAAGTTAGAAACGATCGACACGTGCGTCAACTGTAACTGTCGTGCGTCTCGTATTTGTAAATCTCGCCATTGTATTTGTAAACTCCCATATCAGCCGTACTATCGTAACAGTTTAGCTTTTATTGAAGATGTAAAGGGAAGATAAAGTTTTGATATATTGCCGGTATATTACGGTAGACACTGTTGGATGTAACAGCGCAATAAATCATGTATCAAAGACAGTCGTTGATCGCATTTACGACTCGAGTGGAATCATAGCGGCGCAATAGGAAATTTTTCGAATTCGAGAAAGCTTTTGCGCCGAGTTACCGATCAAATCGCGGCTTTATTCTTCGGTTAGATTATGATGGCTCAACACGCGACACTAGCGCCACTAGCGTCTTAACTACCAGTTCACGAGTTTGGGAATTCATTGCTCCTCTCTCGCCAAGTTTTCTGCAATTCGTTCCCTTTTAAATTAAATTTCATTGCAGTTAGTTTTGCTAGAGATTTATTTATGAATTATTGAAATTTTGTCGATTTGTGTCGTGCAGGTCTTGAGGTTGAAATACAGGACCGGATTGATAATATTTTGTCATTCTAATTCTGTGGTAGTGTTTAGTTTTAAAATTAATGCGGCCAGAAATATTATAGATAAAATTAAAATCACTGAAATATTTTGCAACAACAAAGTTTCGAAAGTTCTAATAGCGTGTAATTGCGACTCTAAGGAAATTGTGGAACTTCTAATCTCACTAGGAGGAGGTTCCTTTTGTGATAGAAAAATAGTATATATTGTATATATTTTAAAAATATTTCTACTGCCATTTTCTAAAGGAACCTTTAACTGTTATCGCGAAATTTTCGACACACGACATAAACCCGATTTAAATAACTAATTCAAATCTATTCTAATCTATCATAATTATCAATGCAAAATGAAATAATCTGGTTCTCATGTTTAGACTCGTGTTCAAATATGTTTTATCATTTGTAGACATCATTTCTAAAACACTATATTCATCTTGATTGCATTTGGTGCTGTAAACCGTCTACTCCCACGCTATCCGCTGCTTAAAACAAGTCACCATCAAGAGTCGTCAGTTAGATTTAAAATAGACAAGGTTTGGAGAAAAATAGATTGTAATTATCTATTTACAGCGATCATAATTGTTATTTTTAAGTGACGCCATGCTGACACGGCCTTCATGGCGACTGGTTTCTATAATGCGTCATAAACGAGGACAAAAAAAAAAATCCCCGAAGCATCGAGTTTCGTGAAAAATTCACGGTCCTCGATTTTTTCCTTCTTTTTCTCTTTTAAATTCAAAATTTTAACTAAATTTTAAGCTCCAGTTCAAGATTTCGTGAAATTTTCTGACAAATTATTTAAATTAAATTTCACAATTGCTGAGCCACTCGGATAAAACATTTTCTTTCTAATTCTTCAGCCACGAAACTATGAAGAATTCAGTTTAACAATTTTAAGAAACTAGAGTTTCAAAAATTGAAACAAATCGAAATAATTCGAAATTTGGATTAAACTTTCGTATCTGAAAATATTCAGGAATTAAACAACTCGAAATGATCAGATTGCATAGTTTCTTTTTCTATCTTTCATTCATTTTCTTGCTTCAACATTCATTGGTCATTGTCACTTATCTGATAATTGTCCCTAAATCGTTGTTTATGAACGCTTTATTCACTGATAAGCGCGAGAAAGATCCGATAAGCTCGTTAATTCTAGTTTGCATGGAAACTTCGCAAAATTTCATTAATCCTGTTTCTCATTTTTCACACAATGGTACACGACTTTTTATTATCATTTTTGTCTGTCATTTTTTCGCTGTTTCGACGGTGATAATTATTTTTTAGCGATGTGGATTAAATTGTACAGGTAACATCGCGATTCATTCTTATCCCCGTCATTGCGAGAATGCTAACGAAGAAGCGTTCGCGCAATTATTCGACCAAGGTCGGACCTGTAAAAATTCCATTCGCTCTGTTTCCGGCTTTTCTCTTTCGCATTTAATTCAAAGGAGTTGAATTAAAAAAATTACAGATAAAGAATAAATTACAGATAAAGAATCTATTATTATTATGTTATTGAGTGTGTATAGTAATAAATTTATTGTTTGACATATAGTAGTGGTGCGTGGCGAATTTTTTTTTTTTTTCATCTTTGTAGTGCATGAATTATTATTTTCATTAAAGAAAAAAGTATGCCAAAAACCCAATTTGCAGATTGTTTCTGATGGAACTTACATGTACGATAATAAATAAAATATTTTATTTAAAATATTTTAATTATGATACTAAATCAAATAAAACAGTTATATACTTTTTTGTACAATTTATAGTTTACATATAGCAATTATAATTCTATGAATATTATAGAAATTTTGTAGACAAGTTCACGTGAAAGTGGACGAATATCTAGTGAGAATAATTCAAATTTTCAATGCATTTATATTGTAAGAAATATATTTTCAATCCTTGACTTCCAAGAGTGTCACCACTTCCATATTTAGTTAGTTCTTTTCTTTTTTAATTCACTTTTACATGTAAAATCATCTACAGCTATAAATACTGTCATGGTATTATAAAAATCTCGATGAAACATACATATTTTGAGTGAAAACATTTCATGTATGTGAAAATAAATCGTAAGAAAATATTCGAATGTTCAGTGTGTTAAAATAAGAGTGTGGAATTCATGGAGCTATGATTTAAGAAATCCAGAAATTTGTAACAATTTTATTCGATAATTAGTTATTAATTACGGAATAATTATATTGCATTACATCATTGATCGTTGAATAATTCTTTCAATTTTGAAATTAAGCAAAGATGTTACATTCTTTGTGTAATCCTCCGTGTAAAGAATAATGTTCTTTTTTCTTAGATAAAAATTAAACGAACGGTTAAAGTCATGAAAAAAAAATTATTGTCGTTTGTACGGCTGATAAGTTATGGCAATAAGTGCCGAGATAACATTTTGTTTCTCTCTCTTATACTATCGCTCATGAATCACTAGACAGCCTAATATAAAAATTAATCTTGAATAGATTATCATAATCTTGCACGATAATTGTTTATATAAACAATAGTTATATAGTTACCGCTTCTCTTTTTTTTATTACAGAATTTCGTTTAAATTCAGATTTTTATTCTACTTTCTCTGTAGCCACAGAAATTTTAATTTTGCTATCTGATATTGATTTGAATCGATTGTTAAAATTCTTAAAATTCATATTCAATTTTTTATTGAATTTCGAGATTTTTATATTCTTAATTTCTTCATATTCTTTTTTCTTTTTTTATTTGCAGATGACAACGACAGATGCTTTGTTTGATTTTGCTGAAAATGGAGCCAATAAATGAAGATAAGTGATAAAACGTGCCTAACATAAAAATTAATTGCCCGCTAAAAAATTTACGCGATAGAGAATGATAAACGAGGTAGAATATCGTTCCTTGTCACGGGAACGGTATCTTCGTCTTTTGTTTAAAAAATAACAATTACGTTCGCGGCTATTACCGAATCGTAGAAAAAAAAATCGAGCCGAAGGTACAAAATCACTTATAAATTTATATCTGAAGCAATGTCCAGATATTTGAAAGTTTCCAAGATTCTGAAATTTTTCGTCATCCAAAGGGTTCGACTCTTCAGAAAAAAATATGAAAAGAAATATCGAACGTTTAATTCTTTCTGTACGAAAATGAAAATTTTTATTCCCCAGAGTGAACGTAACTAAATACATTCGAACTATTTTCGCGTGACCTTCGTATTCTAATAATTCTACAATGAATTTGTCCGATAGTTTTATCAGTCAAATTATACAGAGACTGCCGATAATTCATATCAACGATAAAACTAGAGAACATTTGTTTTTTTAAGTGGCTTGTAAGAAACATAGAAGGTGGAATAATCGAATGTTTCAAATTTTATAGAATTAGAATTTTACAGAATTAAAAAGTAAAGTTATTTTTAAAAAAAGAAGGAGGGGAGAGTAATTAACTGTTCATTAACAGATAAGAAAAGAAGAAAGATTCACAAACCTGGTCGTGCCGTTGTTTTCTGATTGTGTCATCTTGGATCGATAATGCTTGATCGCACTGTGTCGTCGAATTTTGTTCAAAATTGTCTCACAAACGCATTCTTCGTTCTGCACGTTTTACATCGGCTTGTGTGCTTCTTCCATTTACAAGTCTGCTTATTCAGAGAACTCGAGTTTTCCTTGGTTTCATTAAAAAAAGAAATAGAGACGAACAATCGAACTTCCTCCTTTTGTTCTGCTTTTTTCAGGAAAAACGAAATCGATGATGAGCTCTGACTGATGAGGGTTGTAAAATCATACGTCGTTTATCTCCTTCTCGTTCGAGTTTCTCACAGTCGCGAGAGGTTTGAGGAACCTTATTTTCATTTAGGAGACGAATATAATAGAATTTTCTTTGAATTCGCTCGATTTTTTATGGCTTTTATGCTTTTACAATCAAACATCGATAATTTTATTTAAAAAAAAAAAAGAAGGAACAGGTTGAAAAATTTCTCTTCCAAGTGCAATTTTAATAAATCGTCGAAGGTTTCTTCCTTGAAAAACGAACTCCTGATAGGGATAGTCCAAAATTTGAATACCTCGCGAAGATCGGAGAATCGTAATTTCCTTGGGAAATTCAGACACGAATGTTGAGAGATTTCTCCTCAATTCTCCTCTCGAAACTTTTCTCAGCCAAACCAACGAAAGCGAACCAGTAGTGAGCGCGTTCGATGCACGTCCTCGATATACTTTCTCTTCTCTCCTTCAGCTTCCAGCAAGCCCAACACTCCGCAACTCTGTATCCGTGAATCTCGTGCATGTATCATTCAAAATCTTCCAGGAATCCAAGCCAAACTGGCTCATCGGTCACTCGCTGATCCCTCGTCCGTGATTAGCATTCTGATCTTGAGGAGTTGCGGCTCGAGGAGAAAACCAGCCACTCTAGCTGGTTCAAGTAACTGGACTGCCTTGTGAAACGTCGATTGTGTCGAATAGTGATTTGTTACTGACGATGGAACACGAGACCTGGTCACCTTCGTCTTTCTTTCATTTTAAACGCGGAGTTTGAGCTAGGTCCAGATCTCCGACGGACAGGCTGAATTCCCAAGACAGAATGGGCAAAGAAATGTAAGTCAAATTTTGAATGAAATTCTCACAATAGGAAATTTCTTTTTTTTCGAATCAAACAAATTGCATTCGAGGGGAGTTCTCGTTGGATAACTGCCCAGAAGTGAAATTCTCAATTTTCCAAACGAACGTACAACGACGTATAATTTCGTATATCGTCCAATAAATCTAATCAGTTAATGTCAATGTAGATTTATTTGATTTGTACGATATTAATTGGTTGCTGCGAGGCTAACAGCTCCGACTTACACTTCTTTGCCAGCCCACCGGAGAGTCGGCGTTCGCGCGATGACTTCCGCTTGGAAGCCGAGAACAGAGACGGCTAACTGAGGCTAGTCCTTCGTTAGACCGTTGTCAGACACACTAAACTGCCAACGAAAGCGGGCAACTTAAGTGCTACCTTCTGATTCCTCCTCCACCGGGCGTACGTTCGCTTTCATGAACGAGTACATGCGAACGGGGGTCCCCCTCTGTTACGCAAATACATACTATAGGCTGTCACGCCTCCAGCTTTGCGGATAGTCGTTCCTCGGGCACAACTGGCGATAGTAGTCGTTGTTAATCCTCTTTGCAAATTGATCAGGGAATTGAAATTGAAAGAATTGGTTCGGTGATGAGAGATAGTACGTGTAGTTATTGGATTTAGTGTTTGTCAGGTGGGATGGAGAACTTGGAGACTGTTTGAGAGAGTATTGGTAGCTGATGGTTACCTGGAACAGAAGGATCAATATGGAACGTGTGAGGTATTTTCTCGTTTTTGGTTCTTGGTCGAAGGGAAAGCATTCTTGGATTCTGGAATTTATTGATTTACTGGAGTGTAGCTGGTTGAGAAATGCTCTGCCTCTTCAATATGTTGATACATGTGGTGACGTGTGTCTTAATCTGTCTTGGAAAAATGTAAAAACTGGAAATAAGTTTTGTTTAATTAGAAAGTTCCACTCATAATTTGTTTAGGACTTCCACGATAACTTTATCAGAAAAAAGAACTTCTCTCAGAAAAGTCTTTCATCAAATTCATTAAACTGTTTTTGAAGTGTTAAACTTGATACAAAAATCAGATATTTGAAAATGATAATTTATTTCCGACTGATCTTTCATTCTGATAATCAATTCATACTATCATTGGTTATTAATAACATTACTTGAACAACTCAACATATATGAGTAACGATAACTTGAATATACATCATAAATGGCTGTTAATCAATTGAAAAAATATCTCTTATCTTATAAATGTCACTTGGATAACTTTAAACTAACTTGATGGTGCCACTGAAAATACCCAGCGTTCCAACAAGCTAATTATTTTAACACCTGTTGTTTGTTGCCATTAACGCTATGGAAAATTTCTTGCCTTATTTTTTGAGCTAGCTAATCTCACCAGCTGACTATATAATGAAAAATTTGAGAATTCAAATACTGATAACAATATTTTTAAATAAATTACATTAGTTACATTAGATGCCACTTGTTCTCTCCAAGTGTCCAATTTTAAATCTATTAATTTAATTAAAGAATAATAAACTAAAGAACTAAAACAACTAAAGAATACTAAACAATTAGTTATCGCAATTCAATTAAAAGAACAAAAATAAAATAAAAAATTGTCTTACATGTTACAGAGAACAGCATATTTTGGCTAATTTATAAATTGATGATCTCTTACTAAAAATTTTAATTTTAATCTTCATCTTGATATAATATCCATTTCTATGTCAATAATTATATATCAACAAACAATGTGCGTTATAAAACAATTATAATTGAAGTGTTGATCATATTTCAAGATTATTTATTGTCAACATTTCAAGAAATCTCAATTATCCAGCGAGATAATGCACCTTTATCTTTATACACAAAATTCAAGTCATAAAAAAAAGAAGTATATCTTGTGAAACGTCATTTAGATAATGTCGAGTCGGCTAATCGAAGTTATACCATCTATACGAATGAGCTGCTTATGTACTTGTCTAACATGATCAATGACTCTCGTGTATACTATTTATCAATTGTAACATGCAATTAGCTTCGAAATGCATGACATAGCCAATCTGTGCAAGTTTTCGAGTTATTATTTAATTTCATAGTAAAGATAAATTTTCTTGTCTTAGAGAAAACTATAATTTTAAAACTGTGGTACTTAATTCTCTCTTTTTTTTGGCATTTTTCATAATTATTCAATTAGTTAATAATTATTCAAATAAAATTTTTAAATATGAAAATAAATATTTTCATATTTAATAATTATTCAATTAGTTAATAATTATTCAAATAAAACATCTAAGAAATAACTAATAGGATTTAAAAAATCTTATAATGATAAAGTAAATTTAATGAAGATTGAATTTCTAATCTTTTAATTTAAGATTAAATTATTAATGAAAATAAAATTTATTTACTTCGATTCTTATATATATTGTTTCTAGTCTAAACAATAATTAAACGAAATGTAATAGTTGTGTTTCATCTGTATCGCAGATATAATTTGCTCGACAGTGGATGATCTGCCATTAATTCCTCAATGAATATTTATGGACCTTAATACCAATAAAATCGTTTTGTTTTGGTCATACACTTGTACGCCCTAATATCAAAAATATTAACATACGATAATGATCTGACTGCGAATTTTTATGTCAGTTGTAAGAAATTTTGTAGTCCAAAATTAGAGGAGATGCATATAATATGAAAAAAACATATAAAATACCCAGTGCACAGTGTTTTCTAAAATATTTAGTAAGAGAATTCTCTGATAATTATCACTATTTTTTTTTTAATTACATTTTTAAAGGTATGAATTTAAGAATCTACAATCTAATGACTGTAATTGATATATGATAATATCCGTGATATATTATTGAACATCAGCGTCACGATCTTATTCATTATAAACGAAAGATTATACGAATCTGGTGTTACGCACGTCATACTCGTCATCATAGAATTATATTACATCTGCAATACAGTTCATTCATCTCCCAACTTATCGTGTTATAGTTTAAGAGATATTCTTATTCTTATTGATTTATATTCTACCCAGTCGACAATAGTATAATCCTTATTCTTAATTGAGAAAAGTTCCATTTATAAAATGGGTCATGGTATAAATTTTCTAGGATATCATATACAATAACAAAACATATCTTAAATAGATGCAGTCGAGAAGACCTCCAACGAAATTCAAATTAAATCGAATTAGATTAAAATTAAATTGATAAAAATTGAAGAAAAATCTTAAATTAAATTTGGAAACAAAAGTCTCTGAATTGGAAATAATATAGTGTTGATACGTAATATAATATAATATAATATAATATAATATAACATAATATAATATAACGATTTCAGTGATACAAAGTGATCATTTTTTTAGCTTCTTTTGAAAAGTGTCATTTTCAAGAATGACTGTATTTTCCTTACAAAAATATTTTTTCTTCAGAAAAACATCGAGGAGATAGAAAGGATTAAGGAATTGATCAACCATACGTTAGCTTCATCCTGGGGAGAGTATAGAGGTAGATCGTGATCTAATAAATGTGAGAATTTATTAAGAATGATATATCTGGTGTACGACACATTTGCATTTGTTAAATTAATTAAATAATAAATATCAAAATCACGCGAGCTTCTAAATGAAACGTTAGCCAGCCAACTTGCGTCATTAAAAGCACTTTACATATCTTTTTCTTCTTCTTTTTTTTTTTTTGTCATTTTATCTTCGCATTTTTTTCTTCGATTTCTTAACAACTTCTATGAATACGAACGTGTCATGATCTCTATGATATGATTTATAACTTTGGTTAAGAAAAATATATATATCTCTGTCGTTTAATTGCTCGATAACCGAACACTAGTTACCTTGAACAGATTACTGGAAATTAAATGAAACTTATCGGTACGAATCGTCATACAATTCAGTCTAAAGACATATATATTACCATTTTTCATCTCGTAACAAACACGCCAAAATTTCGAAATCAAACGAAGAATCTCCTAATTGATTAACTGGAAATACCTGAACAAGAATTTCGAAGTCATTTTAAAAATATAATTCCTCTTATAAACTGTAGAGGATTTTATTATGGAAATAGAAGTCCCACTATAGTTGACTAGACCTACTGGATTTTTATGCGAAATTTAAAGTTAATATTTTAATTAGAATTAATTAGAAGCTATAAGGAATAATTTAGAATTAATTTTAAAATAATACAAATATACAAAATATCAAAATTATGTTACTTGTTATAACAAGCACTCGATACAACAAATCTAAAATCTAAAAATCCACAATCTGTGGTATATCACGTTATTTACATTGAAATAGTTTGTCTTAATAGATTGAGGTGAAATTCAGAAATTTTTTTTCAAAGGTATGTCCAGTTAATAGTCAGAAACTCTTCGTGCAACAATAAACATTCTTTTCAACAATAATTTATTACATTAGCTTCACACGTAGACATGATTCAAACGTCTTTGTACGGTACTTCTTCTTAGAAGAATAAAACATTGGCAACACTCTATGTGTCATTGTACGAATGTATCCTACTGAAATGTGTCCCAAAATATAACGTATCCTTCTCGTCGAACCTTAATGAATAGCGAAACGCAGAGTTGATTTACACTAATCTTCACTCAGTTAAATCTTCTACGATAATATATACATCCATATTATGTAAAATAGGACCCATTTCTGTTTGTTAGGAAGTAACGACTCTGCTTACAAAAATAGACCGGTAAAACTAAACAGGATTTTTAATGTACAAGATGTTAAACATTCAACTGTTCCAGCCAAAGAGTTCCGGTTTCAAGAATTAAATTCAACAATGACGAGGAACTCTTGGCAGGCGAAATTAAATTACAGTCGGACCTCTGTAATTCGAAAACTGTAATATAAACTTACATAATTTCGAGTTACTTGCGTTATTTTCTATAAGTCGAATTCATTGCCTTACTATATCTTAATAATAGTTTTTTGAATTTGTCTTTCTCCCTCTCTCACAAGAAAAGTTCAATAAGGTATAATATCCACAATTTTCTTCCAATGAGAATTAAATTATGGAGGTTCGACTGTACTTTTCTGTTAACGCTCGAAATAAATCAACATTTAGTATATAAATCTAGATAACTGGTTTTTGCAATCTCTCACTGATGTTACATTAAGAGGACACGTGCCAGAAGACTGAGATCTGTTTCATTAATTTCCACAGTCCTTTGTTAAAATACGTTTCTATTTAGTTACACTAAATAAGAAGTGAATAAAGGCACTCTTAGACCATGATGCATGTAACAAAGTTGCATAGAGAAAAAAATGAAATCTCACTGTATGTTAAACATTTAATATGCAGTACACTGATATTCTTGAAAGTCTCTCTTTATTCAACTGATGAATGTACTGCTTATTAACTAATATCATTATTGCCAGATTGCAAATATTTATGTAAATTCATATTTTTATGCATGTAGTCAATAATTCATGGAAATGCTATAGCGGCATATTCTATGCATTATTGCACATTCGAGTTTCCCATAAAAATCTGCAGTCTAGCAGTAATTGCTTATGTATAACACAGAAGTGAAATCCCAGCAAGTATCTGTGTTTAACAACTCCGATTCAACAAATGCAACTTCTGCATACATATCTGTTCTGAAGTATCTTTAAATAGAAAGGGAAATAACAAACGACGTTTATGAATATGATTCTAAATCGCATTATGAATTAAAATGGATGCCTCGAAATACAACACAGCCACTTTTTTTTTCTTTTTTCCTTAGGCAATGAATGGAGATATCAAAAGTTATTCGATTCTCTATCTAGTTATCTAAAAATATTATTTCTCTATCGTTTATCATTGCTTGTTAGCTACTTTATTCAAACCTACGCAGAGAGAATCGAAAATTTCTCATAGCAGTTTATCGAAAAGAGATAACTATACTTATATACGTTTCTCTTCAACTGTCACGATAGAGTACAAATGTTAAGGCGCCATGACATAGTCGGATGTAAAAAATTCATATTAAAAGTATGCGTTTAGTTTTCAAAATGTAAAATCTATACTGTGTAAAAATCTATGTCTGCATAGGACTTCATTCAAATATTAAAATTAAATAAGAAACGAAATAAAGCTATATACAATGGTGCATATACAGATTTTAATCTAATTTATCAGAAACCAACGGGAACCTGACCACCCGTAATTGACGGCCAAAGTCGCATACTACGCTATCTTTTAATGCTAACATTTGCTTTACGAAAATACAACTATCCGTGTGACCCAGTCTCACTTCGCGTACAGGCTCTCCCGTCCTTACGTCCCAAACTACTAATGATCCCTGAAATCGTACAAGTCGCAAACATCTCTTATTATTTTTAATGAACCTTATTTACGTGACATTTACGTGGCAAGTGTTGCTATGAATATTGTTTAACTATTACAGAAAATAAGAATAAAAATCTTGTTAGAAATGTGTACATACCTGACTGCTGGTTATGAGTAAATGATGCGTTAACATGACTAATTGTAGACTATATGCTGATCTGTGCGCTGGAAGAGCGTGTAGTAAATGTCCCTGAAATCGTTCCCATACACATAACCTTTCATCAGTGCCGATACTTATCACGTACGACACAGAGCATGTGATAGCGGCTACAGTGCCATCGTGAGCATGTATACTATACATACACGTTCCTATAAACAAAAAATAAAAGTTTAAGTTTTCTGTAAAAAGTATATATATATATTTATTATTTAGTATATAAAATAAGTACCAGTTAAGAGATCCCACACGCACAAGAGCCCATCTTGAGATCCACTGCCAGATGTCATAGGGCTCATTCTGTCAATGAACAGACAGGATATAGGGCCACAATGACCATGGAGGGTATATAATGGCAATTGGTCTTCCAGTCTGAAATCGAATTTAAAACTAAGTAAGTCTAATTAGAGAAAGTTTCATAGAAATCATGAAATAAAGATATGTACCTATATACTTTAAGAGTGTGGTCTTGACTGCCAGTTAAAACGCGACCACCCTCGCTGTCAAGCACAGTTATTGCTTGCTGGTGTGCTTTATGAGAACTAATTTTTATACAGCGAAGGTCTTCTTCAGTTTGCATGATGTTATTTATATCCATAGGTGAGCCAGCACTTCCTGTCCTAACATGAGCTAGAAAAAAAAAAGATAGTGTAAAGAATATGTTCAAACAATAATACATATGAGATATTTGCGAATAAATTTACTTCTTCTATAAGAGGTAAATCCCCAATCAATTTGTTGACCTTCGCTATAACTTTCTAATTGTAAAAAGTCAATAGAACCATTTAATTTAGCTGCTACCATTCTACTGCCGATGAATTTTACAGCGGATATTCCAAGCCGCGATCCATCATCAAATAAACACTGAAATATTTAATAAATTCTTTTAATTTTTATTATTCTCTAAAGTACTAATATCGGTATATATTTATTTCTTTTTTTTTTTTGTAATATTCACCTTAAATTTACCCGTAGTGCCTTCCCAAAATTCTAAACTTCCGTTTGCACATCCCACGACTATAAGATTCTCCTGATAATCCATACACCAAATAGGAGATACCACATGTGAAAATTGCACAATTTTGTCTGGATTCACGGTAAGATTGTCCACTATGCTGGACGAATTTAATTTTGCACTCGGAACACACAATTGTTCTAAATTCTCTGAATTTTGTAATTTATCTATAGACCTATTATGTTCCTCCAAAAGTTGTTTATATTGACTGCCAAAGTCGAATCCTTGCTCGCAATTTTGCTGTAGTTGGAGTTGTTTCATGCATGAAAACTTAGTATTTATCGTTGATTTTAAGTCCGGGAGATCGTAAGCATTGTCCAAGGTACGATAATTTTTCTTCCTTTCTGAGTTGACTTCATTAATCTGATAATCGTATTCCAACGTTTTTCCCATTGAATATTTTTTACTGTTATTATTCTGTCCCCTGTGCATATTATATGATCCAGAAGAGGATTTTCTGCAATGGATAGCTGACGCAGTCGAGTATAATCCGAATGAATTAGTATTCTCCATTTCCCCTCTCGAGGGTGGAGAACCACTTTCATAATCTGACATTAACTCATCCATATCAGGCGTTGTATGATTCAAGTTTTTATGAGGGCTACTGAAAAACTGTTTTCTATCTACATGAACTAGCTGCTCACCCGACGTTGCATCCCACACTTTAATGTGTCCAGCTAAACAGGTGCTGGCTATAGTATTGCCATCTGTAGCAATGCACTCTATTTCTTGAGTATGGCCTTCAAGAACCAAGGGTAATGCTTGTAAAACCAATTGCGTTGCTGAATCATGTGCTTTCTCTGCCTGATACCAGCTTGCCCGCCATTCGGCATAATTTCTCGAACAAACACATCTATAGAGCACAACCATTGTATAAGCAACAACAATGACACTAATGAGACACAAGACTGCCGCTAAAAATATTTCCATTGGACTCGAGGGAATGAAAGGAGCATCTGCGTTAAATCCTCGACTTTCTGATCTGGTTGGTACTTCCATATCTGTAGTAAATTTACAATTAAATGATTGAACGGTTAATTTTTGTCGATATTTTCTTTTTCGCATTATATTTACTTACCTGAGAAATCTAACGGGTCAAAGGCAACAGTCGCGAAACTTTTCCATTGAAAATGTTGCACATCATTTGGATTACTAATTTGTTTTGCTAACTGTGGATTTACAGCATGAGATAGTTTCATAGTAGGTAATATAACTATACGCCCACCGGCGGCAGAGATGTTGTACATTGAAAGAATCGAAGACCAATGATAAAGTGATAAACGATTCCAAGGTGGGAACTCTACTGGTCTTAATTTATTTAATTCATCAGTAATATTGTTTGTTAGATCATCCTAATGTGTAACAAAATGTGATAAATTAAAATTTATATTCTGAAAATTCCACATGATTAGCATTTAAGATAAAATAGCAAACAAGTGATTTTTAAATTACCTGTTTATTCAAATGATTCGGAGCAATGGTCGCTGAAGCAATTGATATTGGTTTCATAGTGTTTAATTCGATATAATTACTTGAGGACTGAGATCTGTCTACTGTGTATCCATCCATGTCTGATTCTGGCTTTAATCTTTCACTCAGGTGTATAACATGTTCAACAATACCGGAATTGTAAACGATCATGCTAATCCAGACAACCATCCATACCATAAAGGCACGTTGAAATATTCGAGTTCTTGCCCAGAAATGCACCAGGCGTAAACGTTTCGGAATTTTACCAAATGTATGAGTGTTTTGTGTATTAGAAGCTATGACATTCGTCGGACCGTTAGACAAGCCATTTAATCTCGGATGAGATTTTGATCGGAAGATATTCGGTTTCCTATTCGTTATTGTTGTCGTAAATTGCTGTTTACGCGTAGTTGGTATGTTTGTTAAGTGAAACTTCGACGTTTCGTTAGACAGCTCGGTTCGTTTAATATCGATGGCAAGTATTGTTGAAAAAAGCATCATTTGAAGGAAGAAGTCATTGACTAATCCCACAATAGCAAATATGCAAAACTCTTGTATAGCTGGCACAAAAGTAAACAATCCAATTGTCAAGATCGTTACTTCTGTGAGGAGATTTTTGGTGATGGACCAACCCTCTTTGGACAGAGCTTGAGCAACACGTATTTTCGCATCCAAATGCGGTGGAGTACTCACTACACTTTTAGTTAATACTAACACATTCTCCAGTCCTACGATAATCACCAAATATGGGAACACTTCTTTTCTACTTAAACTTAAGGTTAAGCCAAAAAAAAAGCAAACACCCACAGTCATGGACAGTGAACTTATCACTGTTATTGTTGCACTAAAAGCTATTCCAATTTTCGATTTCACCAATTCTATTTTTCGCACAGAGAAATAGACATAGAAGAACAAAGCCAAGAATGTCATCATCAACGGGAAAAAGTCACTGTAGTTAAATTCACCAGGATAAAGAATATGTAATGTTTCATCCATAGGAATGTAAGTAGCATTATTTTCTATCTGATGAAGGTGATAATAGCTTTTTAATCTATGTTGTAATCCCTTTAAAAATCTGAAAATGAAATCAACCAATTAATTGTAAATAAATTAACAATTAAATAACACAAAACATGAATAATGATCTTATATTTGTCAATTGATCACTTACTCAGGATCATAGTCCTTTAAATAAATAGTTACTGCATATTGTAAAATCCTTTGTCTAAGTCGAATTGGATATCTTTTAATTCCAGTTTCTTTTAAATTCATCCCGAACATTATTTCAGCTAAACTAATTTTCCCCTTTTGTAGATTCTGTAAAATACAATTATACAATTCAAGTCATTTTTTGAATATTTTATTATTTCTAGATTACATTTAATTCATTGTTTTCGTACCTGATATGAATATATGGTGCTTATAAGATTCGTATCTTGTGCATATAGTTCAATACTTCGTTGCCACAGATTGGCAGGTGATAGAACCAAACAATTGTACTCGGGCAAAACTTCTGACTTTTTGCCACTTCTCTTTTTAACTGCTTCAATGTGTAGACAAACTTGATCAAGTGTTTTTAATCTAGATGAGACAATAAATAATGTTATGATTTTAGAATTCAAATAAAGATAAACGACTTACGTTTCTGGATGCTGATAATTCTGTATGATTTCTAAAAGGTTAAAAACTTCATATAATGGACCCCTGAAAGCATCCATTAATGTCAGTTCCTCTGTCCATGGTATAACTCCAACCCTTAGCACCACTTGTTGCACATAAAACACAGAGTTCTCTGTATTATTCTCAGGTACAATAGTATGGTTGATTATTGTCCTTGGTGCATTGCCAGGCATTGGTAAATTGACTAAGGGATAGCTATAAAAGAAGAATCATCCGTTGATTTCTTTTAATTGTTAATAATTATGAATTAAAGTGTATTACTAACCAACATAGCAATACGATCGAGATTGCCAATGAAATAATTGCAATAGGATGAGACGAGCAGAACAGGCCATGGGCATAATACAGCCCTGCCACTCTATCTGGTAAACTACGAAACATTTCACCTCAAGGCTGTCTCGCTAACATGTCATTTTACATCATGCAAATATACATATTAGCATATGACCTGCGAACATTTGAAAAATATGGATATAACAAATAAAAAGAGCAAAGCAGATTTATCGGAGTGGAAAATACAACGTTCAATACGTATACAATAAACAATAATGTGCAATAATATGAATGTGTCTCATATATCGCGTGTGCAAATATTTGCAGGAAAAAAATATCCAAAGAAGGAAACGACGTATTTTCATCAATGATATTATACAATGGACGCATTATTCCATTTGAATTATTAGAAGAACACGAGAGGGTCAATGACGCACGGAATGCAAGGTTACGGTGAGCAAATGCGTTTTCGTTTGCGTAAATTTGTGACGCAATAAACGAAACTATCGGGTACAATACACGTCGACGTTACACATTGCTTACTTATGCGTGCCGCACTAATTATATCGTTTCTCTTAGTCTCTTTGTCTCCATTTACATCGTTGGATAAATGGTTAACAAGCAAACACGAAATACTTCTCCTCCATGCAACAAGGCCACTATTAAATGTACATTGTCACTTTTTTTTCGCACGGTGCCAGAGGAAATTCTTCGAATCGCACTTCACGCAAATTACTGGAAAAGCACATCAATGCCAGCACGATCAGAAATATTCCTCGTGACACTGTTTTCGAACAGAACTGAAACGGCAATTCCGCGGAAAGCGTAGCGTTTCGTAGGAAAACGTAGTCCGAGCGACTTTGAGGTTAAGTTCATTCTAGTGGTTGCACATTCACGCGTAGATAATACTCGCGATTGATCTTGCAGTGCGGCATAAAATGCGCACAGATCAATTACATGTGGCCCGAGACGCGTGTCATTGTTCGAATAAAGCAGAACGGAGGCAAGTACGAGCGACGCTGTCTGAGAAAACGGTTTCGAAGCGAGACGAGTAGTAACGAACACGACCGGCGTAGATTTCTGCGAGTGCACTGGCCGGTTTCAATTTAACTCGCAACGACACTCTACCGAGTGGTAATTTATTTTTAAACGAATCAGCCGAGCCTCCGACTCGCAGCCAATCGTAGATGAATTAATACTGCACGGCTCAGCTGAGTCCCTCGCGCCTTTCACCACGCACGTGGCGGAGAATTTGATAAATTCGCGGAACAAGACAGACCGACCGAGCCAGTTCTCTCGGGAACCTACTTGCCCGCTGTTCTCCATTCATTTTAACCTTTCTTTTTTTTTTTTAAAGGACGTATGATAAAGCAAGATATCATTATGAATACAAAATAAAAAGTGAACGCTACAGTTGGCAGAATAATTTCTTAATTGACGGTATTATTGAATATTGATCAGTTGACTTTTTATTTCAATTCTATGTCACGTAATCATAACTAATTAGAGATGATTAATAATTTATTAAAGTATATTAATTAAAGTTTCTTACTTATGTAAGATAAATTAAAGAAATACTATAGTGTGATAATATAAGGGAACAGTACGATGTACATGCACATTTGAATTTAAATTTTATTTTATAGAAGAAAAGCAGAGGGCGCTAGTGTCTTCCGCGTTTTCAACCCCGCCGCGTCGAGTCCGTTTGAATCCGCGTTATTTTGTGAAAATTGTGAGGAAAAACGACTTCTATCGCCGTAAATCTATCTCAACGAGTGATTTAAAGGTATATTGATCCGTAAAATCGTATAGTTTAGTAAAAAGTATCGACAATTTCTTTTCTTTCAATGATTGTCATTTTGTGTCAGGGGACCGTTATACCTACTTTGTATGTTGAATTTACTTTTAACATTTCTACGTATATTTCTATATCTTTTTGTAAATTCCTTTGCCATAGGTTTGTCATGCAGTCATCGGAGTGATTATAACACAAATAGGTCTCAATGGAGTGAGCCAGGAAAAAATTAAGAAGAATAAAGTAATCGTTAATTAACCATTGGCGTAAGACTACATTATCGGTGAGTCGAATTAAATTTTGTGCACGTATAAGTAAAAATGCGCGTGCAGTGTTGAAGATAATACGTATAATATTGCAATATTTGTTATGCTCAAATTTATCTTTTTAAATATATGTTTAATGTTTATAATATATACGATTATTTTGAATAAGAATTATTATTGCGCCAATGACATTTTTTCCCGCCAAATATCAGTTAATCCTTGATTAACATTCATTTTCTTATCATCTTTTTTGTGTAGTTTTGTGTAGTTTTTTGTTTTTACTTGTTATTTAAAATTAAAACGGCATTGATCTTTGATACAAATTAATATTTCCTACGTAAAAAATAGAGAAATAATGATTTATAAAGAACATTGAAACATATTAATAAATACATTTATCAATACTTTTTACGTATTTATGCAATTTCTATTTTTTTTTTTTTTTTTTTTT